GCGGCGCGAGGCCACGCAGCTCCTCGTGTCGACTGTAGTTGTCTCGTCCCGTGGCTGGCTCACTGTCCCGTGTCCTTTGCGTTCCTCGTTAAGCAAAAGAAGTTAGTAGTTAATTCTATCATGGATGTTCTTGTCTGTGTACAGTTCTTAGAACACTGCAGAGGATTTGTTTGCTTAGCTGTCAACAAAAAGAAAACCTGAGGGAGCATTCAGCAAGTCAGTTTGGGTTCCTTTTCCTTCTCTCATGTGGAACGCGCTCCAGCGAGGCGGTCGGCACACTTCTCAGGACAATGAACCCTTCCCGCGTTTCTTTTTATGCCACACAGTGCATTGTTTTTTCTACCTGCTTGTCTTATTTTTAGAATAATTTAGAAAAACAAAACAAAGGCTGTTTTTCCTAATTTTGGCATGAACCCCTGTTCCCAATGAAGATGGCATCTCGAAGCAGCTTGGGGGAGGTCATAGCACCAGCGTGCTGCCAGCCCTGCGTCTGTCCTGGGGAGGCGGAGGGTCACAGCATCCCCGCCCGCGCCGGTGCCGTCCTGCTGATGTGGTAGGCTAGCAATATTTTTGGTTAAAATCATGTTTGTGACTGTAACCATTTGTATGAATTATTTTAAAGAAATAAAAATCCCAGAAAGAGCCAGCGTGCCTAGCATCTGCTTTCGTGGCTTTGTCTCATAGGGCCCTCATGGGTCCCTGCGTGCCCGGCATAGGACCTGGACTGGCCAGCCCCCGCCCCCGCCCTCACACAGTCCCCCCAGCAAGCCTGTGGCCTGCGGAAAGTTGGGTGACTGGAGGAGGGAAGCGGATGTCTGGACCCCTCTCGGTGCTGCCACGGCCGCTGTCATAGGCCGCACCATGCCTCCCTCGGGTCTGGGTGTCCATGGGGACATGCCAGCCTCTGGGCTTCCCTGGAGTCCCTGACCGTGCATGTCAGGGGCCCCAAACCCTCCTGGGGCTGCACCAGGACGTGTGTCCCCGGCCTTACCCTGCCCTCCACCTATGCCAGGCTTCCCTTGAGCTCCTCAGGGCTTCTGCTTCTGGAGTGGCCAGCTTACACCTTCCCAGTTGTGGGGCTGGACTTGGCCTGACGTGTATGTTATCCCATGTCATTGGCAGGGCAGGGCCAGGGAGCCTGCTAGAGCACATGGTCTCAGTGTGGCCAGGCGAAGGGCATGGGGATATGAAGGTGACAGGCAGGATGGGCAAGCAGTGTGTGAGCTGAGGAGACCTCTGGGCCCCCAGGACTAGGACAAGTGGTGCCCTCTCCATGACCACTGCAGCCTGGGCCCTACAGGTGAACACTGACCGTCCATGTATCGGAAGTGTACGTGTTAGAGAAGAAGAACGGCTAAAATGAAAGATTTTATATGTACCTGCTAAGCAATAAAAGAACAGTAAAACAATTTAAAACTTGGATGGGTGGATAAAAGGAATTGGAAATTGGTAAAATACATTAAATGGTGGGATCAGGGAACTCAACAGTTGCAAAAAATAATGAAATTGATAAAACTGTCCAGATGCAAGAAAAAAATATACAGAAACCAGTACAGCAAGTCCCTGACTTGCAAACATTAGAGTTGCAAACTTTATAGGTGTACTAAGACTTTTTTGGATTACAAACAAACCCAGCTAATGAACATTCTCCTAGAACGGAACTCAGGACTTAAACTGTACTAGGGAAAACAGGGAAGTGTGTTCCCACAGTCCTCAAAATGACAGGCTGTGATAAGTAACTGCTGAAATTTTTGCAAATGTAGAAGTAATGAAAAATACCACCCACTAAAAGGTATACAAAAGGCAAAAAGTTCAGAAAGCTCTATACCTATGAAAGAAGTTGAACTTGAGTATGAATTCCTTGAGGAAAGCTCAGGTGTGCCTGACTCCAGTCAGTTTGGAACCCTCTGCCCAGAACCACCCTCTCCATAGACCGTGGGAGCGCAGACGATGCCCAGAGCTCCTGGTCCATTCTGAAGAGGGCCCTTGACACAGATTTGAACCCCAGGACATTCCAGGGCCAAACGTCTCAGGAGCAATCCAGCTGCCACAAGGGTGGCTGTGCCATTGCTGAAGTGACCCCAGGTCCCCAGGACCAAAGCCTTGAGGTTATGTGGGTATTGCGGTGACCCACATCAGAACTATGTCTGGAGCGGGTATTCAGGTGACCAAAGTGCCTCTCAGGACCACAGTGGCCTAGGGGTGCTGAGGAGACCCAGGCAACCCTCAGGACCAAAGCTGTCAGTAGAAGGGAAACTCCACCCCCTCAAAAACAAGTTTGTATGTGGGGGCTGAGGACCCCCCAGTCCCTTCAGGAGCAGGTGTGGGTCAGTGGGTGCTGAGGAGCCCCGGTCCCCTCGGGAGCTGGCCTTCTGCCCTGACCATACCTGCTGGGCCTCTGAGCCTGTGCCCTGGACACTGGCCCGGAGGCTCTCTTTGCTATCTCTGCGGGACGCAGCCCCCTCTCTCTGAGTCATCGCTTCTTCTGCTCCCCAAAGAATGCCCAAGACTATCCCAGGGGCTGCAGGATGGCGCCCAGGGAGCCAGGATGTGCAGCTATGACTTGAAACTGGCGATCAAAGGGGCAAGAAAAACATCAAAGTTTTCTGAGTCATAAGATGAACCCTATCAATGCCCAGTGTCACTGGAGGCAGGAGCCTGTTCTGCAGATCTGAGGGTGCGCAGGATGGGGAGCGGCAGACAGGGACAAGTCCCTGGGCCCAGCCTCAGTTTTCTCATCTGTGAGATGGCGCCTGTGGCCAAAGGGTCCCGTGTCATCCTGGGCGTTTTGGCTGACACCCCAAGACAGGAATCCACAATGATGATGTGGACTCTGGCGGGAAGAGGGGATCTGTGTGCATCTGCTTCCACCCATCTGCACAAGGCCTATGCCCTCGGCCAGCGCCTGGGACAGAACAAGGCTGGCAGGGCTGTGTCACATGGCCCTGTGCAGCGACCCTCAGACACCGTGGGCCAGTGTGCTGGGGAGGCACCATAAAAACAAAGCAGGAGACAGTGACACACCAGGAATCGACCTGTTCTGTGCTCTCTAGGGCCAGTGAGAAAGCAGGCATCCCCGACAGGTTCTGATGGAGACAGAGACCGATGGGCTGACCGGAAGTGAGAGGCCAGGGAGAGTTGGGGTGTGCATGTGCACGGGCGATAGGGTGTGCACGCTGATACTTGGTCAGTGGGATTTTACACTGCAGTTGTAAAACTAAAGCTAATGAACTGAGGAGACAGGACAGCAAAGGCACAAGCTACGCAGCAGAGACAGACTGAGCTGTGTTTGGGTGTCTTGGCCACTCCTATTCCACAAGGATCCAGCTGAGGCTGAAGCCCCCAGGGCAGGGTGCAGCTCTCCTGCTGTGCAAAGGTCCTCTGGTCAGCACCAGGAGTGAGGAGTGTGACTTTCTGTGCTCAGGGCAGGGTGTTGAGGAGGAGCCTGGGAGGGTGGGCAGTGGGCCATGCCCAGGGATGGGGGGTGCATGTCCATGGACACCTCTCCTGTGGCTGCCCTGCACCCTGCCTGGGCAGGGGAGGAAGGGGAAAAGGAGGCCTGGTGCTGCTCCTAGGGGCCGGGCAGGAGATCCGGAGAGGTGGAGGGCCATCCCAGGGTGGGGCAGTGAGCCAGCCTCCTCCCCACGGCCGCTGGCACCCGCCCTGCTGGCCCTGCCCTGGTTCCGGAAGGCCCCATGGAGGCCAGGAAGCCGCCTCCAGCTGCCCTTGGCTGGGCCCCAGAAGCGCTTGCAGAATTGATTTTCCAGCAAAAAACAACAGCACATCAAAGAGCAGTGGGCGGAGGGCCAGCAGCTAGCCTGGCCCGTGCTCCCCCAGGAGAAGCCATCTGGTCCCTTGGCCATGCCATGGCCCCTGTGGGACCTCTGCCCCTGACCAGCCTGCACATAGCAGCCCTCAGCCTCCTCCTGCCTGGCCTCAGCCATGGCTGCCTTGCCAGGGGCCTGGGCAGGGATGGCCACATCAGGGCCCCAGGCCAACACTGGGAAAGTCCCCTCTGTGTCCCCACTGCCTCTGCCACTTGGGCCCAGGGGCCTCCTGCACCCCACCAGCAGCTGGGGGGCTTCATGTGCAGGACTTAACATTTCTCAAGGGCCATGCATGGGAGGCACCAAGCTTTTCTGGGGATGGGGGCAGGGGGCCTTGTAGCGCTGCCAGTGGTCTCTGAAAGTCCTAAATGAGAGCAGGAAAACGTTCTCCCCTCCCACAGGGTATGGTTTGTGCCCCCCAACTGCCTTGGTGACACCAGCACGGGGACCTGTGTGGACCCCTCTGTCACACAGTGCCCCCACATGGTGTTGGTCCCCATCAGCGGACCCCAAGAGGATGGGTGTGTCAAGTGTGTTCCGAGGGGTGGTGTGTGCCTGGGGGCAAGTGCCCTGAGCTGCTGTTAGGGAGACTGATGCCCCCCCCAGGGCACGGGCAACTGATCCCTCGCCAGGGCCAGAGTCCCGGAGCTGCACCACGCAGGGCCCCGTGGGAGGGAGAGGTGGCTTCTCCACCCTGGCTCTGC